ACTAATGTCCAGTGGTAGACAGTAAAAACGAGGTTAAACCCATAATGTGAGCGAAATCAGCACATGATTGGACTTGCGGCTGAAGTCATTTTCGTAAGTGAATGAATGCCATGATGTGTCTTGGCACTGTCCTGAGAGATAACCACACATTTCAGTGATGCGTGGTGGACTTCCTGGTCTTGTTGTTCTGCTTGTTGTAATTGTCAGCACACTCACCAGAGTACATGTATGCGTGCAGGCCATGACGAGTAGATATTACCATGGATACATGAACTGTTAGGGTAGATATTACCATGGATACATGAACTGTTAGGGTAGATATTACCATGAATACATGAACTGTTAGGGGTAGTTTAATAGAATCTTGTAGGACGCATCACGCAGCTTCATAAGTAAAACAACTTGTGAGCAACACTGGCTCACACTCAATCACTGTCTTTCACAGATTCATTTCAGGAAAGAACTGTTAAGGTTAGGGAGCAAGAAAGTAAAATTTAATAGAAATACCAACAAGATACGAAGGAGCAGACAGACTCATAGCTTGGTTAGTCGCACCAAGTGTCACATGACATCTAAATCACTGTACTTAGTTTAGTTTGAAGGAAAATACCATATTAACAAGAAAAGGAAAATACCATATGAACAAGAAAAGGAAAATACCATATTAACAAGAATCTGGGGAGCAGCTCAGCCTCAGGTCTTGGTTCTTGCCGGAATGCTGTCACAGGTCATCTTCAAACAGCAAGCAGCATAGCTGACAATAGCTGTGTGGAGATTGAATAACGGCTTGATGTACACACAGTATGTGGTACGTACATGTAACTAAAAATCTGTTTGTTGGAGGAAAGTATTAAAGGAGTCATGTGATGGCTAACTTATCTTGATTCACACTCCCACCCACAGCGACTAACCGTGTAGAACGATGAACGCGGGATGCATATGAAGCGGGTGAGTTCGGACTTCCTTTCGGTACTAGTAATTGAATGTTTCAAGCGTGAGATACATGTAGTGGCTTGGAAGTAGGATGCCTGCGTGTTTGGATTGCACCTGTGAGACTTTTAGTACATGTACATGCATGTTTTGCCCTGTGCCAATGCTCTGCCTTTGGGGTCCGCTGAGGGTGGACCCAATTAAAAGCATTGTTGATGATGAAAATCATGTCAGAATACTCTGTATCTTGGAAGGCAAGTTGGCGTCCTAATGAGGAGCTGATTCGATTACAAACAGGCATAGCTGGCACGGAACACGGTATAATAAACCACTACTTCTGTCCTAGAGATACAATGTTCAAGTATGTCGACAATAGCAAGGGGCTGGCAAGCTAACTGGCCAAGTTACTCTACACGAAGTGATCAATTACACGAATATCTCTGACGCAAACGATGAAACCGATTGCCACGGGTACTGGGTGGGGCACGATTTTGGAAAATCGTGATTTCATTATGCAGGTTAAAGTTAAGTATGAGATATTAAAAAAGTCCAACATATGGAACACACGTTGAACAGGCCTTCAGTGTTGAGTATCTGCTTACATTGGCCTGAGAAAGCCAGGAGTGCTTCAGAAAGCCAGGAAGTAGCAGCTTGTTTGGGATTTCGGCCAATGACCTTGAAGGATTTAATGAAGGTGACAAGGAGCGGGAAGAACTTCTCTTGCCAACGCACATGATACAGAGAGTGGAGAGTGTCGATCTGATTGGAGAGTTACATGGTACATGGTATGTGCATTCATGTTCACATCATCATGTAGTGTAATGCGTAATTTCATGTATGTCCATAACCAACTGTGTCTGCATCATGGTGGGGGACGATGCAGCTTGTGATCGTGTGAATATTACTACATTGGAGAGCAATACATCACATCAAAGTTGCCTCAAATTTAAGATGCTGGATTGTTGCTACATATATAACTGGTAATGCCCACGACCTCACAACTTTATTGTACCGTTCTATAGTGGGATATGAATGACCCCAGCCTAGCCCAGCCTAGCCTAGCCCAGGGCTAAAGTCTACAATGTACATTTAAGTGGTCAATGCGCAAAGAGCAGAGCTTTTACACATACAGTTGAACATCGATTATCCGACCACCTCTGGGCAGACAACTGTGAGGCGGTGTTCAGATAAGGCAAATGTTCCGGATAAGAAAAAACTGTCACTCACACACTTTCAGTGGTTATTACTAGCCGCACAACCTTTTTACTTTTACTTTTCAAAATTTTCGTATTTTTTGAATGCCTCACTACATGCACAGTGCGTACTCTACGGCACGTGCGCCCAAAAAAACTGTTACGGATAATCGAATGGTCGGATAGTCGATGTGCGGATAATCGATGTTCAACATGTATGAAAGAGAAGGTCCACGTGGAATATGTATAACATGTATAACTTAACTTTAGCAACTCATCCCGTTGTGCTAGTTTGTACATGGACGTGAAGTATGTGGGTGACAGTGAGGGCTGTGTCCTGCACGTCTATGTCGATTCACAGGAAGTGTGAGATATGAAGTCTGAAGAAAATGTTGAACAGTGTCTGCTGGGATGACGACTACACAATAGCTCAGTGTTTAGAGCATCGCTGGCCTGAAGCGAGGGTCCCTGGTTCGAGTCCTGGTGGTGACAGTCAATCGGTTTCCTTCAGACCTTTCCCGTTTGCGTCTTTCCCTCAAAAAAGTGAACCTCCTATTGTGATTTGTAGTTTTGATCCCATTGGCATTCACACCGGCATTGAACTGTCCATCTGCTCGCTACCGCTTTCCACTGGTTTCTACTTGTTTCCCTCCATTTCCCAATATTGCACCGATTACGTACACCGGCTGAAGCATGCGCATCCACCTCACATAATCCCGGAAAATTGGCTTAGCACGCCGGCAAGCAAAGCAGCCGCACTATACGCCTCTGGTCTGTAGGGACACAGGACATGTATAGAGAGTGCAAAGTGCAGAGCGTGATGCTAAGTTAGGTCATAGGAGAACGACAAGTGAAAACCTGGAGACAAATAAACTAGGAACCATATGGACCAGATACTGTACCCTTGGACAGAATGATTCTTATTTTAAAACCAGCCGGATTTGTGATGTATGCGTACACGTGCCAGATACACTCACTTCAAGAAGTATACAATCATGTAGTATTGTACATGTACATCGCGTACCAGCATAGTCTCCACATTCATGCACATCCATACAGGAGTCCATACAATAGCCATTATAGTTATACATCCATGCTGCGACTTAGGAGTCACGTCGTATGCTGGTCTCTTCCTCAGCTCAGCAACAACAAATACCTGTACTGCCTGTGAGACATGGCAGCCAAGGTGGTCCTGAGCTGATAAACTGAAACCATTATACTAATCACAACCTGGTCTGGCGCAGCTCGTGAGTATGCCACGGTCATGATGGAATCCTCCCTTTCTCAAAGAGTAACAATGCATTGGGAATGCAGTTTGATGTATTCATGCAGCAAGCACTGCCATTTATAAAGTGTATAGCCTTGAGGTAGGTCTCAGACGAATGCCAGCAGGCTGGTGGCCCGGAGTAGTATCAAATGCCAGAGGGTGGCAATCTAGGGCTCATCTACCGACCCGGCAGTGCCAGCTTGTCTTCTATCACTGCAGTACTGTAGTGCTCAGTGCTGTAGTGATGTGCAGGTAGACTGAATACAGTTTAGTATCGTCTAATCAGTAATCAAGAAAATCAGGTAGGATTGATTTACTTGTACCTAAAACAAAACAGTGATTCTTGCAGCATGGATGCCAATATGCAATGCAATAATGATATCGAGATCCACCGTGGTGTTTGATAACAGTCATTGAGTGGAATAGCACCTTTGGCAACAATAGGCCAAGCCTTGGACAGTCCGTTTAGTCAGCTGAAGATGTATGAAAGTGGTAGCCAGTCGAACCTGTCAGCTCCGTAGCTCCAGGCTGATTTGTATTCAACCAGGACTTGAGAAATGTCAAGTGAGGCCCCAGATCTAAGCTGATCTAAACCAAGCGGCAAGGGGGTCAGGGAATAATAATAAGGATGAGGACAGGAGAAGGCTGTGCTCAGAATCCCGGATCAAAATCGCAGTGCCTATCCGTGTGTGTACACGTACATGTGTGTGTGTATTTGTGTTGATGTGCTTGTCTTTGTTTGTGTGTGTTTGTGTGCCTTGCTAAGCGAATTCATTGATTGCCGAGAAGGGCATGTTTTTGTCAATGGCTAAATTCGGCGCCTTGGCACAAGTGATTGTTACAAGTGCCAGCAGCTGATCATGGACCTGAGGAGATGTGGGGAAGACACATTGTACAGAATAGACCTAACATGCAGAGCGGAAAGCATGCAGTATTAGAGAAAGAGAGAGAGAGAGAGAGAGAGAGAGAGAGAGAGAGAGAGTCAGAGAGTTTAACGTTCGTTAAAAACGAACAGAGAGAAAGAAAGGACGTCCGCACATTAGTGACACTACTCAGGATCAATAAAACATTAACCCTACTCGTGCACGTAGAACTCAATCTCATAAAGTATATGCTGAGCCCTACATGTACTTGAAGTATACGTACGTTGGTACTCAATCTCTTCATTCGAATTAGACCAAAATACTTGCAAGCAATATGATCTGCATGTGCATTGGAAGATGCGGAGATAATTATATTCAATTAGGCCGTTGAGTGCGACTAATGATGCGACATCTCCTTAAACACCCATTCAGACACTGGGCACGGTGTCGGTAAAAACGTCCATCACAAGTTTGCTATATGCCCTGCAGGCATTTCACCCACATGCAATTATGTCATGTAGCTAACAAATCAAGCTCTCTGCAGCTAGCATGCGACGCTACTCGGGATAACCCTATTACCATCATTAGATACCCATACTGGGCCATAGCAGACCGTCGGCGCACATTTGCAACAATCCTTTCTCCGCACGGTTGGTCGGGGAAGGCACACGCAGTTCTGGCCACAGAAATCCCACCTCATGACTAATAATAAGTATTAAAAATAGAGAAAGTGTCTGTAGTCTTCGCTACAAAAAGTGCTCAATACCTCAAAAAAGGGCAGATCTTACCACACAGGGCAGATCAACAGAGACCAAAAATCTTTCTCGTAACTCCGAGTTTCGTGTTTCAAAAAACACTCATCAGACGATAAAGCATAATAACGCTATTCGCTAGTTATATAGGGTGATTGTAATGTGGGCTAAGGCAGTGCCGCAACCACGAAGCTTGAGGAGATAATATCAGCGCTGGAATACACTGTGCGTAATATAAGTGGACGAGGGGCTGAGGTATATTGCTATAACCAAGATGGGGGATACATGTACATGTAGAGCCGACGAAGGAATTAAGTAGGTTTCAGTGGGAGTTGTGTCACGCCAATGGGATGGGTAGTTTGTTTTACATAGCAGATACCAGTGTGGATAATAGCGCAATATGCAATAAGTATTACAATTATCAAAGTAGCGCCCTGGTCCAGTGCGCAGAGAGGCGTGCGTGTGTGTGGTGCGAGGGCCGCGTGGCTCCTTGGTGATAATGTTCCTGATGTCGGTTTTCTCTGGCCAGGACTTTACTGGCGAGAACTTCTTGAAACCTGATGATCACGAGTCGCGAATTTAAGATACAAGCACACACACACACACACACACACACACGCACACGCACACACACACACACACGCACACACACTTCTTGTTCTTGTTGCTCACTGCCAAAACTGGTCACGTGGGTCTCCCCGGGAGAGGGGAGAGAGACTCAAAAGGAATCTTGGAAAGATGACTCAATTGGTTATTGAACCGCCCAACGGCCGACACCCCCTGAAATCCCCAAACTAGGGTGGACTTGGAATGATCCCACTTATGGGCTCACCACACCTCAGTAAGTGGGTGAGGACAAGGTGCAGAAAAAGGATTGACGGCATCAGGGTATCCGTCCGGGGATCCAACTGCAGTTACCCCTTCCCCCAGTGAAGGTAATACTTGCTACTAGTGTGGGTGGCTAAATCAGAGTGGATCTGATATAAGCTTCACTAGCACCATTGATTACACAAGAGTTAATCTAGCCAGAAGCAGTCCACACACACAAACGCATACACACACACACACACACACGAACACACACACACACACACACAAACACACACACACACACACACACCATAACATAAACTTGAAGTAGATTCGGTTACTGTCTTGTTGGCTTACAGTGGAACAGACACTAAGAGAGAGAGAGAGAGAGAGAGAGAGAGAGAGAGAGAGAGAGAGAGAGAGAGAGAGAGAGAGAGAGAGAGAGAGAGAGAGAGAGAGAGAGAGAGAGAGAGAGAGAGAGAGAGAGAGAGAGAGAGAGAGAGAGACTACAATGTGTTTCTGTAGTCATTAAAAGCATAGTATCACATGCATTACCCATCTTGACATGGGCTGGAGATAATGACATAGAGAGTTTGATCCTTGCCGAATAGGACTGAAAGGCGAGAGATTCAACTGGACTGGTGAAACGCAGGTGCTACGTCTGGGAACCCGAACAACTAGGAATAGTCACAGAGATAAGATACAATGCAGAACATGATGAAGTATTGCACGTCACTTAGTCCTGCAAGCACTTGGACAGTTTTCCGCAATCCAAAGGCTATGGTCAAGTCGACGTTTCAGCTTTCAGGGCAGGCTAAAGTTTTCAAGTGTCACGGATAGTGGTTCTAATTCACAGTGACACCCCAAGGGCATGGACCATGCGGCCAAGTACTAGTGGTTGTGTGCACTCACACACAAATTCACAATCACTGACACTGCACTACAATCTATCATTGCAAATACATGTACATCGGGTTGTATGGGATAACATTGTATTACTGGGATATCAACGCCATTGCTGCTATTGACGTTAAAAAACAGAGCGAGCACAAGTATCAGCCTTAGTAGGATCTAGGAGTGCATCAGTTTACGTCAAGTGCAAGTCAACGTAATGATTACAGCAGTGGTTGAAAATCCAGTGCGTGATTAGTTACAATGAGTCCAGTCAGAAGGTCAGACAGTAGCCTACTTTACTTTACTGGTAAGACGGGTGTATTCAAACAATACGACATGGAAAGAAGTAGCCTATTTTACTACTACCAATGGGATTCAGTAGGAAACGCTGACACACACAGCGTCAGTTTCGCAATGCTTCACAAGTGCTGGCATTGGTACAGTAGGCTCTGCAGTCATTCTGGCTTGAGCAATATCGGCATAATGCCATTCCAGGGTCCAAGATAATCATAACCGTCGAGTGGACCGTGTCACACAGTGTCAACAAAACATAGACTGCATGCCAAAGTGGTTTGAACAGCAGTACTGACTACAGGTCTACACATGTCAGTATGGCCTGTGTGGGAGTATGGTCATAAACACCTGGACAGTTCAGTACACATGGTACAGGCACTGGTAACGTCAATGTATTATGCAGGCTAGTAATAGAAATGCCAGCTCAAAGATTCCTGCATTCTGTAGTAAACAACATTACATGTATTGTTACGATGTAGCCTAGCCAGCCAGGATGCAAGAAGCACACCGATAAGACTGTTGTGTGTGTTGGAATCAGGCGTGACCTTTGTAAAGTACCCTGCATAGTGAAAATACAATGTCATGGACTGGCCTTGTTCAGTAATGCCAGCTGTGCTGTACATAACCAGGTACCTGAGACTAGTGAGAGGCAGTGACATCACCAAAGCAGGATGTTGTGACAGTTCATGCACTGACACTACTGTACCGGTGAGTCCAACAATTGAAGACATTTTAATTGTCTCAGTCTTTGTGGCCGGACATGCAGTAGCACAATGCAATTAGACTAGCTTTGCAAAAAGAAAGAAAGAAAAAGGGGTGTTTCCTGTACCACCGGCTGAACCCATTTTGGTTGGCTGGTGTAGCAAGCCAGTGCATGGTATACAGGGCCTATAGTCCGTTTCAAAAAGATTCGCAATCCTGGCGATCGCCCGCGGAGTTTGGTGTCTTACCGTATCAGCACTCGAGCGCTGCCTCACTGTGAACTCGAAGGAATATTCCGCGCAAAAGCAGGAAAAATGACAACTCACTCACGTTGATACAGTCATGTACGTCTGGTTTACAACAAACGAGTTCTTCCTCGTATCGATAATGGAGTCAGAGTGGACATGTCGAAACGAAAGTGTTGTAAATGTTGACGAGCGGCATGGGTCCCAATTCGTCTTGTGACCAAAATAATTTCTTTGAGTTGCGATGCAATTTACTCACCGTGTGACGAAAACTTGTGACGACATCGACACGGACTCATCCCCAAGGCCATGACTTGGTAAAAGCTATCCGTGTGACTTCGACGACTTTATGAGAAAAGCAGACGCCTGTGAACGCTGATAGAAGACGGCGTTGACTGCTAACAAACCTAATTCAAATAAATAATTGGCGATCTTGAAATACTAAAATAAATCTCAAAAAGGTACAGCGCGATGACTTCCATATTCACTCACAACATTTCAGTGTTGTGGGTGTGTTCACATGGCGTGAGCCAGTCAAGTGTCAGTCAGTTCGGCAGGAAGCGCGAGCTCCAACAACAAGTCGTTTGGTGCAGCCATCTTCTTTGTCTTGTACCAGCTTGATCATCAAAACAATGAGAAAAAGTTTGACTTGAGGATAGGTTGGGATTTGAACTCACAACTACTTCATGGTCAGCAGACAGCATTCATAACCACAAGGCCAAAAAGGAAGGGATAAATCGGGGGTTTTGATAAAAAATCGATACTGGCTTCCTGGGCAAATTGTAAACCATGGGAAAAGGCCGGAAACTTGGCCGAAATTGTAACTCCTTAACGGCTGGTCCAATAGGGCTTGAAAGTGCTACGTCCCAGCATAGCAACAATTTCAAAAATTCAGAAACTGGATCCATTTGGATCCAGTTTTTGTATGGATCCAAACACATTTCAAGCCGTCTTACTCACAGCAAGGTGATGTAGCCAGTGAAACTGACTGATTTGGCTACTGGGGGCGGGGTTACAACTGGTGGTGAAGTAAAAGTCACCCCTGCATGCGACATGAGTGGGTTGCTATTAGGCCTTGGCGGATAATGCTCGAAAAGGTGGCAGATTCTGCTTTTTTTGCACCGAAATTGGCAGAACCATACAAACCTTATGGCGGGCAATTCCTCGAATTCTGCTCCATTTCTTTATCCACATACCAAACATGCATGAAACTTACCAGAAAAAGTACCGAATTCTGCCAATTTTTCTGCCGGCATTATCCGCCAAGGCCTAGTTGCTATGCACCCACATACTGAGGCAATAGCAAAGTCACACCTTAGTGGATACAAAATAGAAATCTGATGTCAACTTACTACTCCCTGGCCGTTTTTGCCGTCATCACTTTTAAGCGCTATTGTTCCGAAACTTTCACAGAACAATTTGCCGTTCCCTAACAAGCCCTTTTATGTACTTTGTTGCCCAAATTTCCCTTGTCTTCATACTTTTTAAGACCAAAACCTGATTGTAAATCTTTTTGAAATGGACTGTAGGTGGATGTGTGGAATACCTGTGTAAGACCACTACTAGTGCACTGTACTTGCAAGTCAGTTACAGTATATCCACACACACATTACCACCTTGCACAAGCAGGGAAGCAACAGTGACAACAACGTTGGAACGTTCTATTAGCACTGCTCACAGCTTCACACCAACCCTTAAAGTACATCGCAGAGCATGTTTGTGCTGTACACGATGAGTGACGATGACCCAAGCCTTGATCTCAAGACCGGCGTCATGGAGATTCTACAGTCAGATGTGAGACCGCTGGGGGCTGGAACCCGTAACAATGCTCTCAGTTCTCAGTCAAGAGCAGTGCAGAATGTACTAATGGGGAGAGCTATACATACTTTCTCAGTGAACAAAGTCAAACCCTGGAATGAATGACCAAAATAGTTTAATTATTGTAGCATAAATTCACAACTAACTACATGTTACATGTGTAGTTCCCTGTTGTTCTCTGTGGGAGCCCAGGGCAATATCCAGCTGGGTCCTGCAAAGACACAGTTCATTTTGTAAAAGCTTGTGTATTGGAAATGACTTGGTCAGGTTAACTCAGCATGTTGGCTATTGACATATCAAGCACAATCAAGTCCGGACATCAAGAAAACAAAGGCAGCAACATTTGATTTCAGCGGGTTGTCCTCAACTTGCAATCTTGTATTTGGGCCTATATTTGAAACTAAGCATGGAGTGCCCTGATCAATCTTGCCTGCCACCCAGATCAACCAGACCCCATGCAGACAAATTCAAGAACGCACTCCCGACTTGTTTCAAGGTGATTCAAGGCAAAGGGCTGTCCCCTTGCGTGTCCCGCTATATGTACCTCTATACTCTCCCGCTATATCTCTGTATTCTAGTGTGCCTACTTAAGTGTCCATACCAAGCATCTACAGGTATGACGCCTGGCAACTGAGCCCAAAGAAGCCTTGAGCCATAACCGTTGACAGTAGCAAAGCTTAAAGACATCATAATGATAGTGGACTAACTCAACCTGACACTGTGACTGGGTGTGATGCAGCCTAACATGCTAGTATTAACTACTGTAGGCCGTGTAGGTACAATAGCCAGAATTCCACACATCATGTGAGCATATTTAAGGTGTTTTTGGCCAGCACCAGATAAGCAACGTGTCACTGCCAGAGTAGTGGACATTTGCCAGCCACCCCGCCACCCAAACACACACACACACACACACACACACACACACACACACACACACACACACACACACACACACACACACACATGCATACATACATACAGACACACAATTATACAGACACGCACACACATACACACGCATACACATACACACACACAGGCACACGCACATGCATACACATACACATACACGCACACGCACACACCTATGGATACGGTACACTACCATTTCCCCGCAGACAGAGCGTGTGGTGGCACACGGAAGCGATCTCGAAATGAGCACTTCAGAATTGACTTTCTCAATCTCCCATTAGAAGCCAGCGTCAGTTCTTGACATCAGCTACTAGCAGCCAGTCCTGCTGGAGTAACACTGCAGGAGAACACCTGGACAAGGAATAACAAAGGATCGTGCATGGAGAACTTAGAGTCAGTTAGGTCACACTGTTCTAAAATGAGGAATTCTTTTCCGTTCTACGACAAGCAGTATGGTTAGAAGTATGCTCATGCCCAACACAGGTACACACATACACACATGCACTCACTCACACACACACACACACACACACACACACACACACACACACACACACACACACACACACACACACACACACACACACACACACACACACACACACACACACACACAAGCACACACACACACATGTACACACACACTCACTCACACACACATGCACTCACGTCACACACACACACACACTCGTGCACACGTACACACACATTTTCGCACATAATTATATGTTCACGGGCAATGCAGAATACTGAGCGAAACCAGCCGCGTACGTGCATGTGGACGAAACCGGAAGGCCCAGTCCACCACGGCAGTAGGCCAAGCCACCTGTTCTGACAGACATATGTACTGACACGCGTCACAACAACCCAAGCACCCGTCACATTCGTGAACAGGAGATGAAGCGGTGGATAGAGAAGACAAGGACTATTTTCAGAGAAAGACAACAGCCCAATAAGAAGACGATAGCCCAGTTCGGTTAGAAGGTCAACATTCAAACGACAGTCCAAGTGTGATAAGACGATGCGTTCACAGATTGCAAAAGTGTAGCGACATCAGCAGAATGTTGTCAGAATTCAAATTGTGAACATTGGAGACAGGCCCACGTTTGAAAAGTGAAAGCAGAGGAATAGCGCTGCAAAGCAAAGGAGTGCAGATTGAATATGCTGAATGTAAGTGTACAGTACGACAATAGTGCTCTGGTGGTGGTGAGATGAAACGACACACATTACCCAATAGAATCTGGGGAGGGGGGGGGGGGGAGTGGATACTGCTGCGTCTCATCAATTACGTGTACCGGATTTTCCGGAGTATCAGCCGCACTGGAGTATCAGCTGCACCCAGACTTTTCGCCACGAAATACAGAGAAGTACCCTATTCCTAAAGAAGAACTGCGGACCACGGAGCTACAAATTACGCTATAATGTCCACTAACACCACCAGTTACTTTACAATCAGCTCATGCGCTAATATTGGTCGACACTGACCAACGATACTGACGTTCTACACCTATAAACTGGCAATCACCTCCAGCAAGATGTAGAACGTCAGTACCGCTGGTCAGTGTCGTGCAATGTTATCGCATGAGCTGATTGAAAAGTAACTGGTGGTATTAATGGACATTATAGCGTTAAGCGGGATTCACAGAAGCTTTTTTTGCGATGCGACACACGATGCGACGGGATCTGCAACGGACGCGAGCGATGCGAACTTGCGAAATACCATTCACAGAAGAAGTCAGCGATGCGACAACGCCTTGCTGATTTGGCGCGAAGTTCAAAGCAGGTGGGTACGTCACCACGGTATCCGCGTGGTTTGGTACAACTTGTACAAATTTATAGGCAACTCTTGAACCTTTGCACAACTTTGCTGTAGAAAAGGTCAAAATTGTACGCCAAATCACTTGTCGCATCGCAAAAGTTGAGCCAAGCTCAACTTCTGCGATGGCCCAGTTGCGTGGGGTGTGAGATGGCTGCGATTCGGGGATATCCCGGTTTCTCGGCTGTTGTATCGCGTGTGGCATCGCAAAACAGCTTCTGTGAGTCCCGCTTAACTTGTAGTTTCTTGGTCCTCAATTCTTCTTATAAATAATTAATACTCGGCTCTCCACCCCAGTCTAATTAACCTATTCATCACCGTAGTAACGTGACCATCGTAGTAAAAGTCGTACCGTGTATCGACTTTTTTGGTATGACTTCTTGGCGTCTAGAGTGCGGCTTACACTCCGGAAATTCCGGTACTGGCCGCTCTAAGTCCAATACTCTTCCTCTTCCATTGATCAGCCACAAGCCTACTAGGACATGAGTGCCATTGCAGTCAGTCACAGCGAGTTGTGCACTCTACCAACAACAGACAAGCAACAGCAGTACCATGCCATTGGCACTTGTCGTTCTAAATTTTTTTAATAATATTATATTCTAATCGCAGAGCAAGCAGGCGACACTAACCAATGCGAATGTGACCAATACAACAATGTACTGGTAAGGACAACAGGATAAGGTGACATAACACATGGAGACAAGACAAACTGAGAACTACTTTCCGTCCCTGTCTATAAAGAGTCATTATTATTAATTTTATTAAAGATGCGCAGCAAGGTACATGTATGTGTCTTACACGTTCAGGGATGTTTCCCTCTGGCTAGATATCCAGCAAGTACACTCTAACACTACTACGGTCAGGAATACAGCACTGCCTGTAGTGTATTCTGTAGCATTACACTTTGTTTAGTTACCAGTACAGCCACTCCACAGAAACATGCATGCCCATAACACCAGCTGTCAGCAATTGCTGATACATAGACCCTAAGGCAAAACAACTTCATCTCCATCTGCTACTGGATCACATGACCAGCATAGAGACATTTCTCCTTTACGTCTAATTCAATTACAACTAGCCAATACGAGGCAGTGAGAGAAGGCCAAGATGCTGTGCAGTTTGCTCAAGTTCATGGGTGCTATTCTAGGCATACTTCTACCACTTGCCGGCTAATGACCATAACACGGCATACCTTATATACAGTGTGCATTTATGTACATAGACCATGCAGTCATGTTGATTATACACACTCCCAACTAGCAGTAAAGGTACCTGGCATATGTGTGTGTGTGTGTGTGTGTGTGTGTGTGTGTGTGTGTGTGTGTGTGTATGCGTGTGTGTGTGCGTGTGAATCCGTATGCGTGCGCGCGCGTGTTTGTGTGTGTGTGTGTGTTTGTGTGTGTGTGCATGTGTGTCTGTCTGTTTTCGCATGTGGATGTGTGTCTGTCTGCTTTTGAGTGTGGATGTGTGTGTGCATGTGTGTGTGTGTGTGTGTGTGTAAATGTGTAACTCTGCCTCTAGGGTACATGGAGAATATACCGTATTTTCCAGAGGATATGTCGCGCTTTGGACACTCACAATTCACCCCAAAAAAGGTGAGTTCTGATTGTACTCTGATGATCAAATTAATGGTGATAATTATTAATACAATAGATGTAGATTTCTGTATTTCGTGGCAAAAATAGGGACTACCGCTTTAGTGATACAGCGGAAAATACGGTAGTGCAAGTCCGGCACATGTACACATACACACATGCACACAAACACCCACACCCACACACACAAACACACACAAACACACACAAACACACACAAACACACACAAACACACACACACACACACAAACACACACAAACACACACAAACACACACAAACACACACAAACACACACACACACACACAAACACACACAAACACACACAAACACACACAAACACACACAAACACACACACACACCATGCATATATCTGCAGATACATGTACACACACGCACACACACAAAAACGGACGGCAGCAAACCTCAAGCTTTCTCAACCGCCACCACATATGGAGAGCAGCAAATACTAGCAGGAACTCTGCTCAGTACTGGTGAACCCACATTCCACTAGCCCATGTACCATCCTCTGCACACCATCACGGCCTACCAGAGGCACTAACAAACCTAGATTAGAGTGGTGTAAAGGCATCCTCAGGTTCTATGCCCTCAGAAAGATAACTTGTGACTACATAAACAAACCCCAACACACACACGCACGCACACACACACACACACACACACACACACACACACACAACAGCTTGCACCCACGTACATTATACACATACATCACCGAGAGAGGGCCATGGACTATGGCTAGGTCAAGACAGGGATTCCCAAACAGCACACAGACACACACACACACACACACACACACACACACACACACACACACACAGCAAAGCCAAAGGACTTCCATAGATAAGGTATCCTGCTGTGCTTCTAACAATCAGCAACAAGTGCTTGTGTAAAGGATTGATCAGATCCTCCCTGCAGGCCCCTCACTGAGTAACTGACACGAATCTCTTCCATAAGCCACTGAATGTAAAGAATGATAAAGACGATTTCTCACACCCTCTTCCAGACCAGACCACAAGCACCTGCTACTTGATGAGGATTCTTTTGCTTTGGTCAGCTTTCAAGTTTGTCAGTGGATAAGACAGGGGGAACAATAGCCCAAACACCACACATCAACACACTGGCAGTGACTACTTTCATCCTCCTGTCCTTGATAACCCTGTGCCAGTCTATCCTTATTTATCACTACTCAATCACCCTTCAGATTCCTGTATTGCTGGATAGCGGCCTAGCCAGGTGTGCAGTCGATAAATAAATGTTGCCAGATTCAATCTGATCGACTCTGCCTGAATAGGAAGTAAGAATGTGAAATTCTGACTGCAAATGTCAAGAGTTAGGGGTAGGTTGTGTCATTATCACACCAGCGCGCGCACACACACACACACACACACACACACACACACACACACACACACACACACACACACACACACACACACACACACACACACACACACACACAAGGGGGAGTCAGCCGGCAAGGAAAAGCCTTGTGAAACGTGCCCTCCATAGCTGATGTCTGCTAGCTGGAGTGGTTGAAGAGCAATGCCAAACATGTCTTCAAACACACACATACACACACTCTGTTCACTCACCCAGTGACAGGCCTGACTGACACCGATAAAGAAAGAAGAAAGCACTTGCCCAAGTTTCGACATCACGAGCAAAAGGCCAGGACACTGGAGGAAATCACCATTATCCGGTCCCCGGGGAAAATCGCGATTCCGCGGCTGCGCTTTTTCCACAAATTTGGCAATTTTTAACACTGCATTTTCCGTGAATTTTCCCGCGATTTTCTAACTTTTTGTTTCGCTGCACACCAGTGCTGGGTTGTGAGCTGTTCATGTCACATACTGGTACTCCCGCATATGTGTAGGGTGCTCCATAGCATGCAGTTTAGACATGGCACACAGTCTTCTTGATTAAAAATACTAGCTACTAAGCAGTGTTCTGGCAGGTGAACCAGTAGATTTGCCAATCCACTTGCAAATTTACCTAAAACTGTCGTATATTCTGAGCAATTTTTCCCACGAATTTTTCCCGCAAATTTTGCTGCAAATTCTTAGCTTTTGTTTCAGCAATTTTCCCCAGGGAAAGATTATAATTGTGACTCCTAAACATACCTTTCTCCCGTAATCTCCAGACAAGGGTGAATAGCAGCTTGCATGTGCTATCACTACAGGTGTCGTCGTACTCAATCTCCGGACAGCTAGCCGTTTTGACCTTGTTAGGTCTCATCAGCGAAGCTCAGAGTTACTCGGCCGAACTGATCGCAGTGATGTCTGGTGGACAACAAAACATAATGTACATGTATGATAATCGGCTTCAGAACAGCAAAGCCAGATTACTCGAACCGTGAGAAACACAGCGAGCTCTTCACGCGGACAGGCAACTTGACGCCAACCAGAACGAAATATCTACATATCACGCACACATATACACGCATACACTCACACATACACTCACATACAGATACTCCCACAAACACGCACAAAATACATACACACATAACGTTCCTCACACATGCACACACACACATACACACACACACACACACACACACACACACACACACACACACACACACACAAAACACGCATGCACACATACACACAAGCAAAAGGAACTATCCTTCTCTTTCAGGAGACAAGAGAATAAGACTACATTCCCGAACACAATCCCTAAATTGAAGGCAACAACACTGAACCAAAGTGAAATGCTCATGACACCGAGCCGTAAATTTCCCTTGGCAACGGACCAGTCAAGAAGTTGGGTGTGCCTGTAGAACCATACACAAGCCACTTCTCCAATTTCTACATAACATTGCATTCCTGTGGGATATCAGTTACTGTGTTTCCTGCATCAAAGTGCCTCTTCCTTCTCTCTTTCTGAACGTATGTCACTTCGATACCCCCCCCCCCCCCCTTCCTCCCTGCAAGTAACTTGAACCTACCAAACCACTGGCGAAGAGATGCGAAGTACACAAAAGACCAACAACACATAGCACTTCAAAGAGAAGAACCAATCACCATGGTAACCAATCACCATGGTCGCTGAGTGAAGTGTGATGGAGTACTGTAAGACAACAAAATACGGGGGGGGGGGAGGTATATTGTATATTAAGTTTCGGCTATTCTCGCCCTGGGCAGTTTTGGCCAAAATATTGTTTTGCAAGGTTCAGTGTGACAGTGCATCGGCACCAGCTGTTAGGCGAGACCAAGATAAAATCCAGATTCCCGGGCAGGACCCATGTGAAATTGGTGCGGGCGTGCGAATTATTATTATTTTTTCCTATGTATGTATGCATGCCATGCTGAACTGTATTTTACAGGATTTTCCGTGAATTTTTATTCATTCTTTTCACAGAAAACAGGTACGCGGTTTACTCGTTCAATTTTTCTGTATTTCGCCCAACGATGGCCCTAATCTGTACATCAGGGAGTCGTATAAGCCCGGGTTTGTGCGACTCCCCCCACATGCTGGCGCAGTTCTCTGGAATTCACTTCATGCGGATATCCGAGGCGCCACCAAACTGGCCGCCTTCAAGTCAAGCGCTTTGCAACACATTCTTGCTTGCTTTTAGCTTTACGCCCATGTTTCTGCAGCTGTGCTGGAACTTCTCTATTTCGCCGCCACTATTTACCATTAGCCATGTCTCCCCCTCCTCCACCCTACACAGTGGGTCCATTGTTATCAGGCAGCTTCCTGTTTTGGTTTTCTCCACTATAAATAAAAGAATACTCCACGTCACAGACCTACTCACACGATCAGTACTGTATGAACTGTTAAATTTTTTTAAGAAATTGGCTTTGGCTAGAATTTGGTGTGGGAGGGCCCGGGAATATCTGTTTTTTTTGGTCTCGCCTAAAGGCTGAAATTATAATGCGGCCGAAATGTGTTTTAGCCCTGAGGAGCCACTTCTCCATTTTCTACATAACATTGCATTCCCAGTGGGATATCAGTTACAGTGTTTCCTGCATCAAAGTGCGCTGGAGGCGCACGGGGATATAAATCTGCATTCATGATGAGCTCAACTCATGCATGTAGCTGCATGTCCACAGAGCTCTAGCCAAAAGAGGGTAGGGGAGGTTGATTCGATGTACTGTTAATTGAATGCACTTGATTCAATGTTCAAAATGCAGATACAGTCAACTCCAGATAAACCAAACACATGTGGCCAGGAAAATACATATTTATAAAACAGACAGAATAACGAGTGGTTGCTTTTTCGTAACTCTTTCACGAACCAAATCGAATATCAGACGAAAATTGAACTTTTTTCCAAATATATTGAGCCTTCTACGGACGGTGAATGAACTTTACATGGTAGATCGTTATAATAGTGCTGAGTCGGGTAGCATTTTCTTCGGGTATCGGGTTCGGGTACTTTTCCACGGGTACCCAATCGGGTAATGTTTCCATGGAAACACCACAATGCACCCTTCCATTATGCACTGGGTAGACATGCGGAGTATCACATGAACTTGTACACGTGCACTGTATATGATGTCATTTGCGACTTTCGGTTTTCGGGTACTATTCTGTACCCGACTACCCGAGGTCCTCATGGGTAGCACGGGTACCCGACTACCCGTGCACACCCCTACTTTATAACCAAAGTTCTTTATAACAGAACTGAACTCACACCATACAAGCAACATTGTCATGACCGACATGTGACCCCTGAGCGCATGAGTGCACTTGGTATGGTCGACAGCAAACATGAGAACGACACTGGTACCAATGCTGCTGCTCCACAAACACTAAAACAACTAAAGCACTTACAAAAGCAGTATAACAACAGCACTGACGAAAAAAACAGTGCCGAAAATGCGATAATAATGCACACATCCAGCGTGGAGAAAGTGTCTGCTCTGAACTTCGCAGCTCGCGCTTCCTGCCGACTGACTTGACACTTGACTGACTCACGACTGCATCTGGAGCACACGAGAAGCCCGTCGAACCTTCCACTCGGCACACCTGCAAGGAAGCACCACTCTCTGCTCAATAAACAGTGTTTCGGGGAATTCACCCCTCATCAGTTGAACTTGAGTAGGCTAATACAATTTCTGCATTAAGTAGTGCTGCTCTCCGAGCCAAAACATCACTAGGGATACCAGCTTACAGTGATGCTCCGCTCCCCCCAGCGCAACAAACACCTCGTGAGCACCAGGCAGCAGTGTGAGTCAGTGTCGCACATGGAATACCGGAACATCTTTCATCCAGCGGGGAGTAAATAATTGGCTCTCGTCCGGAATTCTCGATCCCAGCAGTGTTGTTCCGTACTGACTGGATCATCGAAATCCAAACGGGTAACCTTTTACTAACGGTACCTGAGAGTAACCGGCTGGTACCCAGGTACCCTTTCACCCCTAAAACACACACAGCAATAAAACACCACATACTGCTGTCCTTACCTTCAGTTATCCGCTCTCATCATCTACTTGCCCCTGTCCAGTGTGCTGTGTGTACGCTGACGGAAATGGATGTGCTTACAATGCTCTTCAACCTGTGTACGAACTGTTAATGGTCACACACAGTCAAGTGTACATAGTAACACCAGGCGTGGTCCAGGCAATCCTCCACTAGAGGTTGTCATCCTCCACTAGCTGTCTTGCACTAATGAAGACTGAAACTGGCCTGCAAAAAGAAGCAACACATAGATGAACCCAACGGAATTGAACAGTGATGACCCTGTTACCATGTTTAGTGGAGCTCGACACATAAAAAAACATCACATCTACACATACACACGAACACACACCCGCGTGCGCTTGCAGGACCGACATACCGTCTATACACCAGAACTTACACATCAAGCCACTGCCTTACCACGATGCAGAACAGACTTGCGGAAAGTCATGTTGCAGTACAAGGTACCATGGAACCAGGACTCTTGCTGAACCCTGATAAAACCCAGCTTCTAATTGTGCACTGCGAGACAGCCGACATCCCTCCCAACCTGATCGTTTCTTGTAGCACCTTCTCTGTATTCCCTGGCCCCTACGTGTGCTACCGGGCATGCTCGTTAACCAGCATCTTGGCTGTGAACAGCGTACTAACAAAGTGTTCAAGGATGCAAACCGAATGCTCGCTATTTCAAGGTACGGTTTCTATGCTTTACCCTACCTGGCTGCAGACAGATGGTACTCTCTTCCACCTGAATATCACCAGGCAGCTTCCCTTGGAATATTTACCAGAAACTTGCATGAACACCAAAGGACCTGGTAACTTGTTGCAAGATGATAAGACTGTGAGGACTGCCCTGTTACAACAATATAATACTGGACACAATATCTCTATTCCCGTAGCTATGCTAAATGGTTCCTAACAACCGAGATAGGTCACAACGAGTAGATTGACTCACCGTATCTAAAAGATACAGTATGGCAACTTCAAGCACGCACAACCGACCAAACACGCCACCTGCAAACAGCAAACGGGTTCTCCGTTACGATGTTGTCAGGGCAAATGCAAAAGTGGTACAAATGTGGAGGTCCAGTGGATTCAATTGGGAGCAAACCAAGGAAAGTTGGCCTGACAACTTCAAATAACAGTTAGGCACAATTGATATAACACGGCACCCAGAAAAATCAATTCGGTACACTATTACAGGATTGCCATGGTTAATGGGCCACTGAGCATGCAATCTAGTGACCAGGCTGTGGCACCCGCTGTAGCACTAGCCAGATGTTCACACTGTAGCACTATAGCCAGGCTGTAGCACTATAGCCAGGCTGTGTCACTATAGCCAGGCTGTGGCACTATAGCCAGGCTGTGGCACTATAGGCAGGCTGTAGCACTATAGCCAGGCTGTGGCACTATAGCCAGGCTGTAGCACTATAGCCAGGCTGTGGCACTATAGCCAGGCTGTAGCACTATAGCCAGGCTGTGGCACTATAGCCAGGCTGTGGCACTATAGCCAGGCTGTAGCACTATAGCCAGGCTGTGGCACTATAGCCAGGCTGTGGCACTATAGCCAGGCTGTAGCACTATAGCCAAGCTGTAACACTATAGCCAGGCTGTGGCACTATAGCCAGGCTGCAGCACTATAGCCAGGCTGTGGCACTATAGGCAGGCTGTGGCACTATAGCCGCGGCCACAGTGCAGCAGACCTGCTGACTGCTCTCCACCACCAGTGGGTGCACACCGCCGGAGATAAAGGAGCTTCTCGAGTGCTGGCCATCGACATTGCTGGAGCATTTGACCGGGTGTCTCACACTGGTGTGTTGCACAAGGCTAGAGTGTATGGCATCTTGGGAGACCTGCATCGGTGGCTCCAAGACTACCTCTGCAACCGCACACTTCAAGTCCTCATCTCCGGCCAGACATCAGCCAGACGCCCAGTTAAGGCTGGGGTGCCACAGGGCAGTATCCTGGGCCCCACCTTATTCTTGGTCTACGTCAACGACCTTGAAGACCACCTCCCAATCGGCTCCAACCTTGCCTCATTCGCCGATGACACAACCCTATACGCCGAAATTGCAACGCTCGCTGCTGTTCCTGACAACGCTAGAGTACTCCAGGCTGCTGTCGACCTAGTATCCAGTTGGGGCTCGGATTGGAAAGTGCAGTTCGAGCCAGCCAAATCTCAGGCCCTTACAATTTCCCACCATCGTCGGGACTGGCCAATACCCCCCCCCCCCCCCCCCCCCCCATTGTCTTCAATGGAACTCCTGTCGAGGAGCAGCCCTCCATCAAGGTACTCGGCGTCACGTTTGACCATCAGCTAAAATTCAGCCAGCATATCCGAACTGTTGTAGTCCGAGCAACGCAGAGACTTGGAGCCTTGCGCAAGGCATTTCACTTGCTGACTATTCCTGTCCGGCTTCGAGCCTACAAAGCCTTTGTCCGGCCGGTTATGGAGTACTGCCCAATCGTCTGGATGAGGGCAGCTTCTTCCCACTTGAATCGGCTGGACTGGGTGCAGGAGCGAGCCATCAAGGCAATACATCCGCAATGCTGGCTTCCTAGCCTCATAATTCGCCGCACCATCGCTGCCCTCTGCCTCCTGTATAAAGCCCTTTGCGATAATTCTCCCGCTCTTCTCTCGAGAATGGCTCCACCCCCGACACACCAACCCAGGACCACACGCCTCACCCGCCAGGCTGTACGACTGTCCACCGCGCATCCCCATCAGTTACAGAATGTTCTTCCTGCCAACTCCAGGAACAATGTGAGCCGAGCCTTTCCCCACTCCGTCATCCCAATTTGGAACCAGCTGCCTACCTCTATCATTCCCCACCCATTTCACCCAAAGAACATCCAAAAGTTCAAGACAGCAGCTTATCACCATCTCCTCAGAACGAACTGGCACTGGGCCACTCATAGCATACGCGAGTAAGAGGGTACAGTGTCCTACCCTGCTTGGACATACAGTCATGTAATCTCTCCTCACGGACAGTCTCCTCTTGAATTTAAAAGTCTAACAGCGTTCACATCAATACTCAACTTATTCTTTTGCTCACTGAGCAATACAATCTTTCCATTTTCTTTCTTCTGTTTTCTTTTTCAATTTAATCCTCCCTACCCAATATCCCTTTGGTGCGTCCATGGAGCTATGAAGCCGAGACCTCTGGTCGGCGGAGCTTAATGGGCCCCACTACCACACTCCATCATTCACCCCAGTGTCTGGAGATATGTGGATTTTGTAGAAAAAAAAAAAAAGCCAGGCTGTGGCACTATAGCCACGCTGTGGCACTATAGCCAGGCTGTGGCACTATGGCCAGGCTGCCAGAAAAAGTACCGAATTCTGCCGGCGGAATCCGCAGGAGCCTATATCCCGTGCGTGGACTTTCAAACAACTACTGTACACGTCATCTACCAACATAACAGATCATAACAGATCACCCATGCTCACAAGCAAAGATCTACTGATGTGGAAACGGAAATCCGGTCGCACGTCTAACGGCCCCAGGGCGCGGGCCATGCAGCCGTGGTAAGCACGCATGCATTTACCATGATAGCCCACATCCCACATGGACATGCAGATGCTACACCGCTATGAAGTACACCAACACACAGGGCACAGAGTTTGGAGTTATACAGTCCAGTGATGTGGATGTGGATGTCATCAACCAACGCTGTACACTGCTGCTCAATGTCAGCGTCAGGCATGTCATTGACTGGCTAGATCGAATTTCACTGAACAGCACTGACTGTACTGTCATGTATGTAAACCCGTCTGTGATCGAAGGTCTTACCGGCAATATTATGAGCCAGACCAGGCGGCTTTTTCTTTGCATCCCAGGCCAGGGATCCCGTCAACAATCTTCATCATTCCTTGGTCGAGAAACTCCTGCGTCTTTCGTCCACCGGTTCCGGGTCGGTGGGTAAGGTCCCCGTCCGCACAGGCGTCTCCGCACCTCCCAGCCATCAGCTGGCATTGCCGCGGCGTGTGCTACTGCCTACAGGCTACTCTGGCGCTGGAGGGGTGGACCGATCGACCGTGGACGTGACTGCCATGGATGTGCTCCTCTGACCAGTGCGGGCGCGGTCGCTGCTTCCGCTGCGGCAACGGCCGACCGTGACTGGATTGAGGTTGGCGACCAAGTCGTCTCTAACAGTACCAGTACCGTACTTGGAAGTAACAGCTCTTGAGCAGTCCGCCAGAGCGCCTCCTGACGAGGGTCCAATGGCCTCTACCATGGCTTCGATAGCTCGTCAAAGATGACTGTTGCTTGGGGTAATGGCCTTCTCGAAAGCGTCGAGTATCGCTCCCTGTGGCAAAATCCTTGCCGGGAATTCGTCTGTCCAGCTAGCTAGCTGCTCTGTAAATGGCGTACCCCACCTGGACCATTTCCCCTCGTTTTGCTGCTTCCTTTCCTAGCTCGGTAGAGTCACGGTGAAATAATTATATTCTACTTTTTGCAACGAGCGGACCACACTCAGCATGCACTCGACCTCTTTTCGTTCGTCCCTAGGCTAGGGCCCTACTTTGTAGCCGCTCTACGTATCCGCCTAGACTCTACAATCTAGTCTTTCACAGTTTCAGTTCGTCGAATAAAAAACAAAACCGATACGAACAAACCCAAACCAACTCGACACAACTACTGAGTCTGTCTGTCATGTACTGTTATCATGGTTATAGTAGATCCCACGTGCACAGATTCAGTGGCGGGTCCAGATAGTGGTGATGGGGGAGGGGGGGGGGGGGCGCAGGGGGCCGCCGATTTTTTGGTTGATAGTTCAGGCCTCGAACGTGAGAAAAAGACGACTGCGTTCGAGCTAGCGAGAGTGTGGAGAGTTTACGCTGGATCATGGACGTAGATCTACTGCATTTACGTGAGTTTTTAGGAGTAGATCTACGAGTATAGTGTCAGAATGATTGGCTTGCGATCAAACATTGACATGCTCACTCTTTGAGTCATTCGCTTTCATATCCTTGTACTAAAAAGAAAGGAAATAATGACGTGCCAGGTAAATCTAATATTGACTTCGTACTAGGTCAAAATAGGAAATACAAGCTGATAAAAAGAGCGAGGTACTAGGTTGTAACTTGTAGGACTTTTACGAGGTTTTAGATTTATCACGAGTAGCCAAAGCATGTATTGAATCCCTAAAAAGTCTGCTGTCAAATATGCACTGAAAGTATACGTAATCAATACAGCCCATGCCTAGTGAGATATGCAGGAATATTTGACTTCCATCGCGCAATCAGGAGTGCTAATTGTGCCGTAACCATGCTTTGTAACAATAGTAACGAACACGAGAGCGAAATGTGAATCTGAAATGTACATATAAAAGAAGAGAAAGTGTTCAGAACCGCTTTCTCGTGACGATCGTCATGTCAGTGAACGTACGTAACTATGGATGGAAAAATAATTAAGTCAAACACGTAATTACAATTGTACAAGTTAGACTCGGATAGAGAGCCAAGGATTATACATGTATTTAAGAGACAATACCAAATTGTTACATGTTATCCGTGATAGAGCTTATCATCAGTTGTCGTTGAATGTCAGCATTATATCAATCAGTATTGTGCTTGCTGTTGCACCTCAGTCTGACGTCACAACATCTTGCTTACATGCATAACTGTTAGTGTTGGACACAAAACTACGAATAACGTGTAACACTTTGGTCCTTTACTTTAACTTAACATACTTACTACAAGTATGTGAAGAAGAGGTTGGTGTGACTTCCGCGATAGTTGGGGAAGTGTGTGTTATTGGAGGTCGCGGTTTTCCTGCCGACTTGAATTCTCACTTGACTGACTCACGACTGCCATCCAGAGCACACGAGAAGTCCATCGAACCGTCCACTGGGCAAACCTGCAAGCAAGCACCACTCCCTGCTCAATACACCGTGTTTCGGGGAATTCACACCTCATCAGTTGAGCTTGAGTAGGCTGAGGAAGATTTTGCCTGAAAAGCACCACTTACATTGTATAGTGCTCTCCAGGCACAAACATCACCAGAGATACAAACTACTTACAGAGACGCTCCGTTTCCAGCGCGACAAACACACACCTCGTGTACACCAGATAGCAGTGTGAGTCAGTGTCGCTCATGGAGGTGCTGAACAAGTGCTGAGGACCGTTGGCCATTCACAACGTTGTTGCCTCCAAACCATATAATACGCAAGCCCGCGCTGGGGACAACAGTGTGAAGAAGAGGTTTGTTCGACTTCGGCGATAGTTGGGGAAGTGTGTGTTGCTCCCTACATGGGAGCTCGCGGTTTTCCTGCCGACTTGAATTCTCACTTGACTGGCTCACGAGTCGAGGGGTTCACCGCATAGAATGGTTGTGGTATGACAAAGGAAAGAGGCAACGACTGTGTGTGGGGGGGGGGGGCGAGTTTCGAACTATGCACAGTGAGGGGATAATTGTATGTACATGACCAAGGATAGGGTGTACCGGACAAAGTTGCCATTTTTGGGAGCAATGGATTGGGAAGTATAACAGTATTGTGGTAATGAGTGCAACATCATAAGAATTAGTTATAAAGGTTAAAAGGAAGCTATGACTGTTACAAGTACTTTTCTCAGTGTCATTAGATGTTTTCTTCATACATGTAGTTCACTGACAAACCCAAGGTACGGGACGTAACCATGGTAATGAAGAAGACTCGCGAGCAAAGGCGACGGAGGTGTGAACCACGAAGGCGTCTTCTCCAGGAAACCGACCATCGCCGCAGCATCCAGTGTCAATGTTTTCGGGCAGTGCTAGTAGTTGTTGTGACTGATGATGTATTCTCTGTTTTGTCACGTGGTAGGTTTATGTGTGGTCATGCAGTCGTATTTATTCAGCTTTTATTTCTTGTGTACTTGCATACTGGTATTAGTTTAGTCCCACAACTTGCGATAAAATGATCAGCTGTAGCACCTACTCCACTTTTATGTTTATGTATCTATGTCATTCGGATCTTCCCAAGTAATTGTACATTGTACTGTTGAGATTCCGAATTCAAATAAGTCAATACAAAAATACAGTATGTTGCATCTTGCCGTGCTACAAATAGTACAAGCCTTTACATGCTTAGACGTAGATCTACGCTGCATCCTGAACTTCAGCAGTACTTTGAGATCTGAAGAGTGAAGGAGAATGTGTTGTCTTTACAGCTGTTTGGCAGCCTCAGTACATGTATTGGTGGAGAAGATGTGAAATAAATTCTTTGATCTCTTGATTTGATGCAATTTTATAACATTTTTGTCACCCTTTACTTTTCATGCTGTTTTGACTCTTCACCTAGACTTCTTTCTTCGTGTTATTTCTACACTTCACTGTAGTGTTGAATCTTTCAATCCTAACTCTTTGAACCCTATATCTTTATAGTTGTAGTACTTATATATCATAAGTTTTGTTATTGCTGCTTAAAATGTCCACTTCGATAATTCTGCTGATTCCCGAACATTCGCTTGACCCAGGACACACTAGCTGCATACGTAGCTTCCTCGGAGCAATAAAAAAACCTTCTGACTCGGACCGGAAGGCGGAACGACACGATGGTACCAGTCGTCGAGTCATAGGCAACGAGTACGCTTCACAACGGTGCGTCACCTATTCTTCTTTACGTTGCAGAACACCAGCAGCCACTCTCCTGTAATAGCGTGGATCAGGACTATCTTGTCGTTGCGTTGACTCTATCCGTATCCCCCGGACCAGAACTCGTTGCTGTTCTCTGGACAAGCCAGTCAACCCATTTGTTTTGGCTACCATTGTGGACCAGAAGTACAGCCAAGTTCCAGAGAATAGGTCGGCTGGTTGACGCTGCCCTAGTTGTCACCAACTCTCAGTTCGGAATGTCTTCCTCACGGAACACGTCAGAAGCAGAAGGCCACCAACGGATGACGGGAGCGCAACTACCCAGCTACACGATGGAGTATTTTCCGCCGTTGGACTCACAAGGTCCACAGGCACAGCCGGCTACTGTACAGGGTAAGGGACGAAAGTCGAACGTTTTGCAACCTGTATGCTCTGTACATAATGTCTTGGGATTTTAAGTGTTTCCGGTATGGGATAAAAAAAATATTATCCTGCTAGACCTGGTTACTGCACCGATATAATTATTTTGTTTGTAAATTGTCTAGTTCTGGCTCTCTAGCCTGCATGGGACTGCATGTTGTGTGTGTATGTGTGTGTGTGTGTGTGTGTGTGTGTGTGTGTGTGTGTGTGTGTGTGTGTGTGTGTGTGTGTGTGTGTGTGTGTGGTGTGTGTGTTGTGTGTGTGTGTGTGTGTGTGTGAGATGGGCTGTGAATCACGGCATGGAATTGTCTAAGTCAGTCAGTAGAAGCTGTCGAACACAGTCACTACATGTATTCCCCAGGAAGTACCCAACCAGTGAAAACTTCATTGCCTTTAAGCGCAAGCGTAACGAAGTGAAATGTTTGTCACGTACCCTCCATCGTCAGTATGTACAGTCGGTTCATGCCACCCTGTCTTCCCATGATCGCCCTAGTCTCCATTAATTTCTCCGCCATCTCCGTAAGAACTGTAGTCGGGAGCCGATCCGATCAATGACAGCTTCAGACGGCACGGTAGCAACAGATCCCGCAGACATAGCAGACATATTTAACACGCAGTTTACGTCGTTTGGACTTCCTGACGACCCTACGTGGCCTATACCACCACTCACCCCTTCACCCTCAATACCTGCGTCCCTCCTATCATTGTCGACTGGTACAGCCCAAGTGAGGAAATATCTCCGTAATCTGAAAACTGGCAAGTCCCCTGGTCAAGACGGAATTACCAACGAAGTTTGGAGAGCTCTTGCTCCGTCTGTTGCCTATCCTGTGTCAATTATCTTGAATATGTCATTTCGCGAAGGGAAATTCCCAGCCATGTGGAAAACTGCGGTAGTCGTGGCCACCTACAAAAATAGAGGACCACGCACCACCCCCAGCAACTATCGCCCTATCTCATTGCTCTCTACTTTATCAAAAGTGTGCGAACGTGTTGTATATGACATCATTTATGATCATGTTCGCATTTCACTTTCGCCAGCACAGTCGGGCTTTTGTCGGGGTGACTCCACCAGGTGCCAGGTTACCCGCCTCGTGCAAGACATCCCCACCGCCCGGAACGCCCATAACCATGTTGGTTTAGTTTTCTTCGATCTCGCAAAGGCCTTCGACACTGTTTGGCACAGGGGTCTCTTAGCTAAGCTGCGAACAGTATATCGCATTGATGGCAAGGCTATCGGCTGGCTCTCATCGTATCTCTCTAACCGACATCAGCTTGTACGCCTCTCAACTGTGTTATCGGAGCCTTTACCCGTTACTTCTGGAGTCCCCCAGGGTTCAATCCTTGGGCCACTGCTATTTCTCCTGTATATTAATGACCTCCCCGATATTGCCCCTGGTGTCAGCCTTTTCGCTGACGACACAGCTCTGCTTTGCTCCAATGCTTGCCCTATACGCCTGCACGAAGCCATGCAAGATAGCATTGGGAAAGTTATAACCTGGATGCATGATTGGAAGTTGCAGCCGAACGTTGATAAAACGGCAGCTATGTACATTTCCCCTTCTCCCCCTTCCCTGCCACTTTCTTTTCCTTCTTCAAGTGTTGCTATTCGTATTGTTGAAGAGCATAAG